TGTGATTTTCCATCCACCTCAGTGGGTGGATGGAAATAGACTGGGAAGGGCAGGAAAGGTGACGGAACATCTCTGAATCTCGTTTTAAAATGTTAACTTCACTTTTGAACCACAAGATGTTATGCAGGTTCAAAAATTAAATCAGTACAGATGGGATTAAATATTAATACGTTATGGAATGAAGACTCACCCTTGGAAGACTGCCAGGTCCTCAAAGCACTGCAACACAACAGCCAACAGCAGCAATATGAATACACGCAGAAATAAATAAATGTAGTTATGGATCAGAATTTACTAACACCCAAAAGGGGGGATATTGATTGAGTTGAATTTCTGGCTTGGGCAAGGTGGAGCTCTGAGGGACAGGAAGGAAGGCTGGGGAGGGTCGGGGACTAGTGGGACATCACAGCAGCCTTGTTGTCTCATGACTTCACCACCCAGTGACAAAGAGAGACCAGGACCAGCCCTTCCTTGCCCGCGTCCAGTGGTGGGTGATTGCCCAACTAGGCTCATTGCTCACTGTATTGGTAGGATTCCTACCAGCCATACTGGGTCATCCCAACAGCACCAACAAGGAGGTCAAGTGGGAACCTCAAGATCATAGGTGGCCCCCAGAGAACTCATCACCCAGGCCTCTGGACTCTCCCTTCCTCCACCCAGGAATCATGAGAGATGCGCAGCACCAGAAAGGAGACAGACTGGGACACTCTTAGGTCTGTCAGATTCCCTTCCCAACTAACACCCTCAGGAAACCTGGAAGCTCTGGCCTGGGAAGTATGAGTTTCTTGTACTCCTGACCAGAGGACCCCTGTCCTCTGTTGGCTAAGTAAGACACCAATGGACTGCTGCCATTCTGGCAGGTGAAGCCTGTCACAAGCTGCTGGGCAAAAGCTCTTTTTTTTTTTCTCATTAAAAAAATTTTTTTTAATTAGTGAAACACCATGAGGTACAGTTGTAGACTTACAAATTTTTGTGCTTGGGTTTCAGTTATACAATGATCGAGTACCCATCCTGCCACCAGTGGCCATTTTCCACCACCACTTATCCCAGTAATCCTCCCACCCCTCCCATTTCCCCATTCCCATCCTGCCTCTGTGGCAGGGCATTCTCTTTTGTTCTCTCTTACCTTTTGGATGCTGTGGTTTGCAAAAGAGGCATTGAGTGGCAATCATGTTCGATCTATAGTCTACTTTCAGCATGCATCTCCCATCCTGGGCGGATCTTCCCAACACCCTTTATTTGGTGCTCCCTTCTCTATCTGAGCTGCCTTTTCCCCTAGCATGTGCGGCTGGCCTCCAAGCTATGGAGTAAACCTCCTGGTACTTATCTCGGCTATTCTTGGGTTTTAGTTTCCTATTTTGTTACTTTATGTTCCCCAGATGAATGCAATCTTTCTATGTCTGTCCCTCTCTTTCTGACTCATTTTGCTTAGCATGACACTTTCCATGTAGTACCACTTGTATGTAAATTTCTTGACTTCATCCTTTCTAACATGGGCAAAAGCTCTTTGTCGCTTATTGGTCAGGCTCCCTTTTCCTCTCAAGGAGACCGCATAGTAGCAAGAAGCAAGCTCCCCACTTAAGCTCCCCACCCTCTAACAACAAAGCCAGCCAGGAGCCACTTCTCCCCCACAGACTGGGGAGGAAATTTCTGCTCTGTAGGAAGCATGAGCAGAAATTGGCTAGCGTCCCAGAGGTCTTAAATGAACAATATAGACTGAAAGAGTGCAATAAAGCCTATTATTCAAGATACTGAGAAAAGTCTTAAAATGGTACACTCAAAGAAACCTATATACATACTCATAATAACAAACCTTCTAGAGACCAAAGATTAATAAGCTCTGAAAGCAAAAAAAAAACCCCAATATATTACTTATAAGGAGACAGTGAATGACAGTGGAACCTCATTTTAAACTGTAGAAGCACAAAAGCAGTGGCGCTGTTTTCAAGTGCAGAGAGAGCAAGAGAGAGAGAGAGAGAGAGAGAGAGAATAATTTTTTATCCATGAATTCAATATCTGGGAACACTATCCTTTACTAATGAAGAGGAAATAAAAAATTCTTATTCTATTTAAGTGATTAAGTGATTAAGTGATTCTATTTATTAATAAAATTATTTTTAGAATTTGTTGTCCAGCAATGGACTCTTAATTGGCTAAAGTAAGTTCATCAAACAAAATGGAATGATATAAGAATATTCTTAGAGCATAAACAACAACAATGGAGAACAGAAAAAGCAAAAATATGTATAAATAGAATAGATTATTTTCATAGCACTGTAGCACTGTCCTCCCATTGTTCATCGATTTGCTCGAGCGGGCACCAGTAATGTCTCCATTGTGAGACTTGTTGTTACTGTGTTTGTCATATCGAATATGTCACGGGTAGCTTGCCAGGCTTTGTTGTGCAGGTGGGATACTCTCAGTAGCTTGCCGGGCTCTCTGAGAGGGATGGAGGAATGGAAACTGGGTCAGCCACGTGCAAGGCAAATGCCCTACCCGCTGTGCTATCACTCCAGCCCGGATTATTTTCATAACTTTAAAAATTATATTTGATAGTTCAAACAAAGATATAATAACATGTGACATGAGGCAAATGTGTGTAGGACATAATAATACTCAAAGCATCTGGAACCTCTGCTTTGGGACTTCATCCAGACTGTGGACCAGAATATTTAAAAGTAGTTTCTTGCTGTTTTAGGCAATTTTAGATTTCCTTTCAGCATTGTGGCTGGGCTTGGAGACCAGCATTGAAATGTAAAGCACTTATCTTATGATTTAACCATAACATACAGATGCCTTTGGCGGAAGCTAACATGAAGTTCCAACCAGGATTGAGCGAAGGGAATCAGTTTCTTGCTGTGTGAGAGGACTGTCATATCACATTGTAAAGGGTGTGGGACAGAAGGCATTGCTGAAAAATATTTGCCACTGGACCTGATAATAAAGTCCAGTGGTCACCATCTTAATGTCTTAGCCTCAGTGACCACAATAATGGGGCACACTGAGCAGGACAGCAGGACACTGCCTCACACATGGTTTCTCTACCAAGTATTTTCAGCCTAATCGTATCATTAAGAAACAATCACTTAAATATGAATTGGAGAACAGAGTCTTTAAAAAAGTTGTACATAAAAGGATCTGCAATGCAAAAGTCCAAAGAAAAGTAGAAGTTTGGGGGCCAGAGCTATAGTACAGTGGATAGCGCTCTTGCCTTGCATGTGGCTGACTGGGTTCAATCCTGGGCACCCCATATGGTCCCCTGAGCATGCAAGGAGTTAGTTCTGAGCACAGAGTGAGGAGGAACCCCTGAGCACTGTTGTGTGTGACCCAATGCCACACCCCAAAAGAAAAATAGATAGATAGAAGTTAATTAAAGGAGAATAAATAGCACTGTAAATAAATAGCACTGGCAGAGGGACAAATCCACGCGGGTTCCAGGGCTGAGATCTCCCAGCCTACTCGGATTGGAGTCGAGCATCCTCCACCCAGATTCTCCAAATTCCAGTAGGCGGGGGTCACACCCACCACCTGGCCCCCTGGTGCCGTGAAATCCCATTAACGGCCAAGACTCAGAGACTATAAAATCCAGCTCCCGGACATCTTATCAGGACATCTTTTTATGACATCTTATTATCTCATTCCTACTTTGGACAAACTTGCAGGCTATCGAATGTAGCCTGCCCACAGGGCAGAGTCTGGCAAACTCCCCGTGGCGTACCAAATATGCCAAATACCAGTAACAATGATGGGTCTCATTCTCCTCAAGAGCCTTGAATATAATCTCAGGGTTAGGATGAAAGAGACGTTACTGGGGCCTGCTCGAGGCAATCGATGAATAACAGGATGATGAAATGAAATGAAAATGAAATAGCACTGTCAGTCAAGCACAATATATAATCTTTGACGAGAGTCCAGGATTTGTGGGGAAGGGTACTCTTGAGAGACTAGGAAAAATTAAAATATAGACAATGTATTAGAAAAATAATGCGTCCTTTTTCTTTCAAAAGTCTTATTTGAAAGATAACTTTCTTTACAATTGATATGCTCTTAGGGCGGAAAAAATATTAAATATCCATTAGTAGTGACTCCATGATCAAATACCAGTTATTCATTATTTTCTTCTTAACAAATATTTAATGATAAGATAACAAATGTCAGTCACTTTACTATAAACTGGGTTCGTTTGGAAAAACACAAAAATCACTCAATAATGACTTGTGTTTTTATTACTTTGTAAGTAATTAGCCATAAATCCGATTCTGAAAATCCGCTGATTTAGACTGTCTCACAATCACAAATGAGAGTATAATGAACTGTATTAGTGAAGCAAGATAGTTTTTACTTGAAGGAATTTACTGAGAGAGATGTAAGGGGAGAGAAAGAAGCTCACATGTTCAAGAGACAACTGGGGCTTCTCCAGAGGGGAAAATGCCTATAATCATGGTATTAAAGGCTAAGTAAATTAGTACCTTCTTAGCTTCAGAAATACTCTGCTCTGTTATAGAATTTTCAGATAAGGCCAGAATGATACTTTGGCTAGGGAGTGTTCTTGCCTTGCAAGTGACCGAACCAGGTTTGATCCTCGATTGATCCCCAAGATCCCATATGGTCCCTTGAGTTCTCCAGCAGTAATTCCTGAGTACAGAGCCAGGAGTAACTCCTGAGCACACTGGGTATGGCCTTCAAACAATAAACGAAAAAAAAAAAGAATTTCCACGTAGGGTAGTGCAGCAAACTTTAGATGTTGGAGAAGCTGTGGTTCAGCTTTCTTAGCACTTCTAGATGATGCCCCTGGCAGAGATGAGAACTTAATTGGAGACGACTTGGGGAGGAGTCTAGGAATCACGCAGCCCATTTCACACCCTGTCCACCAGAGGGCGCAGCACTACAGTGCAAACATATTTGGGAGGTGGAGTCTTAGATTCTTGCTCATTTCCCTGGGGCGGCCACATGTTTTCAGGTTCACACTTAAAGAACACTGTGTAGGTGACACTCTAGACATGAACCCTTCTCCAGGCTTAATGATTGTGATACTCTTCCTGCTAGGTAAGTTATATGCCTCTAAAACTTTGGGTAATTCTATCAGCAAAATCTTCAATCACAAATTTTGTAATCTATGCACTAGATTCCAAAAAAATAAAAAAAAAAAATCTTTTCTTTTTCCCAGGACAAACACTTGGAGATTCAGTGAATCAGACAGGAGGCCAAGTGACCCTCTCTGAAAAGGCTTCCCTGACTATCACCTGCACTTACTCTGCCTCAGGGTACCCCAGACTTTTCTGGTATGTTCAATATCCGGGAGAAGGCCCAAAGGTCCTCCTGAAAGCCCAGAAGGACAAAGAAGTTGGAAGACAGAAAGGGTTTGAAGCCACGTACCTCAAAGACTCAAAATCCTTCCACTTGGAGAAAGCGGCAGTGCAAGAGTCAGACTCAGCTGTGTACTACTGTGCTGTGAGTGACACAGTGACAGGATCTGCAGGGGGAGCTGAGCACAAACCCTGAGCAGGGCCAGGCTCTGAGGCTGAGAGTTTCTAACAGTTGAGTGCAGTCTGGTGCCAGCACAGTCTCTGGTTGATTCAAGGATCATTCAAATGATAGAGCATAAAATCAAGGTGAACAATTCCCATATCCAATTTTTTATTAATGAAATGGAAAATGGAAACTGACACCAGTAATTTCTTATCAATCATCTATCACCCGTGTAATACCTATCATCTGCCATCTACGTTAGAGATTCTTAAGCTTTTTCTATGGATAATCCCTTTTTCCCCAAGTAATTTTTAGATAATCATAAGTATATAGGAACACAAAAGTTGATATACAAATAAACCACTGAATGAAATATGGTCAGAAAAAGGCTTAAAGCATTTCTAAAATTGTTCATGACCTTCACATTCAGTTATGCCACTAATGTCAAAGTAAAATTCCATAAACAATGAAGCATTATCTCCCTTATCTGTGCTGTCAATGTTGAACACTCACAAATTTCCTTGGGCACTCTGGTAGGCGTTGCTGTGTCTTATTATACTCTGAGAGAAGAAAGTTTCCACAAGGGTCAAGACGAATGGTCCATGGTTAGTAGCCTACATAAAGGGCTGGAGGAGAGGGTAGTTGGGACAGAGAAAGGACCATTATGACAACAATAGTTGAAATGGATTACTCTGGATTGGAAATGTGCTAAAAGTGGGAAAATGACCAAGCATGATCCTTTCAGTATCTTCAGTATATGTATTGCAAATAATAATGCCCAAAAGGAGAGCGAGAAAGAGAGAGAGAGAGAGAGAGAGAGAGAGAGAGAGAGAGAGAGAGAGAAGCGCCTGCCATAGAGGTAGGCTGGGGGCAGGGGACAAGGAATACGGGGTGGTGGTGGGTGTTGGTGGTGGGAAATGTACACTGGTGGAGGGATGAGTGTTGGAACATTGTATGACTGAAAATTATGAAAATTTTGTAACTGTATCTCATGGTGACATGGTGATGCAATAAAAAAGAAAGAAAGAAAGAAAGAAAGAAAGAAAGAAAGAAAGAAGAAAAAAGTTTCCAGAGGAAGCTGTATACCAACATAATGTCTGCCTGTCAGAGAGTTGAAAGAGAGCTTTAGACAAAAACAAACCGAAACCAATAAATAAATTAATAAATAACCCCCCCAAACCAAACAAAGCAAAACTTCTGATTTATTTTTATTTATTTATTTATTTATTTGTTTATTTTGCAGGAGGTGGGAGGTGGTCCCCTTGATGCTCAGGGCTTACTCCTGGCTCTGTGCTCAGGGGCAACTCTTGGCAAAGTGTTCCCGGGCCATGTGGGATGCTGGAAATTAAACCCAGGTTGGCTGCATGCAAGGCAAGAGCCCTACTATTGCTCCAGCCCCAACTCATTGATTCTTAAGAGACGAGGAATAAAAAAAGACAGGAGTAAGAATCTCACACGTAACTAGGCATGAAAGAGAGGAAAAGGGTATTAATCCTGGTGAGCACCGTCTCTATTGTCTAGTGATATCTGCTGATTAGCCTTCTTTAATTGTGTTTTTAAAATAGCAATTTCCTACTAACATTTAGAAACCCCAATGTTATAACACTTGTTGAAAGAATAGCAGGATATCCTCTAAGATTCTGTTATAAACAACGAATATCCTGTCCCTGTATAGCAAACCTGAAAGAAAGCTGAAAGTTCATGATTGTTGAATTGAGAACCTGACTTGATCACTTGACTTCCCGTTAATCATCGATTTGCTCAAGTGGGCACCAGTAACGTCTCCATTTGTCCCCATCACATGCTAGTGTAGCCCAATGGCGTCTGTTCGTTCTAGGAACACAAAGAGCCTCAAACCGATCGCTCAGGGTCTTGACGAAGAAGTCTGACCATCTCGTAGGTGGGCGGCCACTCGGTCTTTTGACGTCCTGCAGAATCCAGTCAGTAATGGCTCTATTCCAGCGGTTGTCTCTAAATCTCATTACGTGTCCAGCCCATCTGATTTTCGACACGTTGGCAAAAGAGACAGCATCCCTAATTCTTGACCGTTGATGGAGTAAGAATTGAGAACAGCACATTAAAAAAATAAGAAAGCCAAAATAATTTAAATAGAAAAATATAATAAATGCTTACTTCAGAGAAAAGAAAATATTACTTAAGAAAGGAACATATTCATATTTGCACCCATCTTTCTACTCTTTGCTTCCTTTTTTTATGTAGGAGTACTGCTATTTATTCAACCACTGATTAGCCGATTAAATTGTGCATGAACTCCACCTTACTTTTTTTTTCGTTTTTTATAATTTTATTTATTGAATCACTGTGAGAGCAGTTACAAAGCTTCCAGGTCTAAGTCTCGGTCATACAATGAAGCACCCGTACCTTCACCAGTGCCCATTCTCCACCACCAAAAATTCCAGTATACCCTCATCCCACACCCTCCCCCTACCTGTGGGGCAGATGATTTCCACATTACTCTCTCTCTACTTTGATCACATTCAATATTTCAACACCGGACCCACCATTATTATTTGAGATTTTACCCCAACACTCAGATCTGCTGAAAAGGCAACAGTAGACAACTTGTGTTCTATTGCTGGTTATAAATAACATATGATGTCGCGTGGCTGCAGTAGGGTCATGTGATTTTGATGTATTCGATATGCTAAACACAGTAACAATGAAAGTCTCCAGTGGAGATGTTACTGGGCCTGCTCGAGCAATCGATGAACAACGGGAGGACAGTGACAGTGACAGTGACAAATCTGGAGGGTTTTCTGCCAAAAGCCACTGGGTTTCGAGATTTGCTCCTGAGTCTCTGGGATCATGGCCGTTGAGCAGCTTGATCAGGAGCCAGAGAGGCCGTTCATGGGGGATGACTTGGGTTCTCTTTGGGACCGGGAGATCAGGACCCGCTCCACCTCCATCCTGTGAGGCCCAACAAGTTTTGTCACTGCGGGCCCAGACCTGACTGTCCAGTGGCCTCTGGAGGATGATGGCCACTGAGCCGCCAAGGGAAGCAGGCGGAGGGACAGCACCCTTTCCCCCCTGGAGTGGCCCGGCAACAGTAACCTACTGCGTGGTCCGGACGCATTTCTGCGAAAAGCCACTGGGTTTTGAAATTTGTTTCTGAGTCTCTGGTGTCATGGCCATTAAGCAGCTTGATCAGGAGCCAGAGAGGCCGTTTATGGGCGATGACTTGGGGTCTCGTTGGGGTGGGGAGGACAGGACCGGCTCCACCCCCATCCTGTGAGGCCCTGCGTGTCTCGTCACTGGGGCCCAAACCTGACTGTCCAGTGGCCACTGGGCCGCCGGGGGGAACAGGCCAAGGCACAAAACCTATTCCCACCTGGGTTGGTCCAGCACCAGTAACCTACTGCAGGGACTGGATGCATTTCTGCCAAAAGCTGCTGGGTTTCGAGATTTGTTTGTGAGTCTCTGGGATCATGGCCATTAAGCAGTTCAATCAGGAACCAGCGAGGCCATGCCTCCAATTATATAGCTGAGCCAGAGGTGGTTTGTGGGTGTGTTTCCCACATACCTAACTTTTGGCCGTTTACTTTCTTGGTAAACTTTGCCCCAAGTTTTTGGGGTCTGGTCAAAGGTATAGTAGCAATTTTGGGGTACCTGGAAGTCTGAAGGCGCCATCAGGCTACTGATGCACTTGCCTCTACAGGTACAGATTGACCTGCTGGCGGCACCATACCCCCCTACTCTTTGCTTCTTGTTCAGTGCTTTTAGATTCTTTTAAATGATTGAATGCAGTTTTTGTCTCCTATGTCTGGTTTTAATCATTTATCACAGTGGTCTCTAGGTTCGTCCATGTTGCAAATGGCAGGATTTGATCTGCCATGTATTGGATATGTAAAGTGTGTTCATATCATAGCTATTATGAACAATCTTACAATGAGGCATCTCTACGAGATAACAGTTTTATTTTCTTTGAAAATGTACCCAGAAAGGTACTTGTCCTAGTACTCCATATTGCCCCTTGAGCACTGTCAGGAGTGATCTTTGAGTGTGAAGCTAGGAATTAAGTCTCTGAGCATTGCAGGAGCATGCCCCCCTCTAACCCACACCAAAAGGAAGAAAGAAGAAAGAAAACAAAAAAAGAAAATATATGTAGAAATGTTATTGGTAGTTCTTATTTATAGAGTGCACTTCATACTGTTTTCCATAAAGGCTCTATCAGCTTTCATTTTCACCAATAGTGTATGAAGAATCCTTTTCTCTACATCCTCACTAATACTTATCTCTTGAGTTTTTGATACTGGTCATTTTAAGACGTATGAAGTAATATCTTATTGTGGGTTTGATTACCATTTCCCTGATTACTGAAATGGAGCATTTTAAATAATCCTCTCTGCCATTTGTATTTTTCCCCAAGAAAGGTCTATTCTTTGGGGGTGTGTGTGTGTGTGTGTGCGTGTGCGTGTGTGTGTGTGTGTGTGTGTATGTGTGTGTGTGACGACACTTTAGAAGGTCTGGGACCTCGTCCGATCAAGCTAGACAGTGGTAGGTCCCAATGATGTGGTGCTGCTTGGACACCCAGTGCCAGGGGCAATAGGGCCACACCTGGTGTTTTTTGGGAGTCCTCCATGGCTTAACCCAGCAGGGCTTAGTGTGGTTCTGTGATGCTGAGGATCAAGCCACTATCCCAATCAGAGAAAACTTGTGTTCTTAACCCCAGTGCTATCTTCCAACCCCTGTAGCCACTCCCCCCAATTTTTATATTTTATTCTTCAGTAACATTAACTACAACAATTTTATATGTTACAATTTTTTTCTTAAATTTTAGTCACATTCTGATAATGTGGTGCATTGTATAGTTTGGTTAGTTTCTGTTGAACTATAATTGCCTCCTACAGCTAAATTCCATCTGAGTGTGACATATGATCATTTAAAAGCGGCATTTAACTCAGTGTGATGGTTATTTTGTTAAGGATTCGTTCCTCTATTTTCATCAGAGATATTGTATGTGATTTCCTTTTCTTGTGGTGTTTTAGGCCTATTTGGTTATTAGAATAAAATAATGTTTTTTTTTCAAGTCTGAAAGTGTTTTCTCTTCAGTTTTCATGGCAATTTTGAGAAGAATTTATTGGTACTTATTGTTTAATGTTTGGTAGTCACTTTAAAAATTGTCAGGTGTGAGCCACCACCATGCTCACAGCCTCTCTCCACATGCTCGGGCCAAGCCTCACCCATGAGTGAATCTCCGAAAAAAAAAAAAAAACAGGTATGCAGACTTTCTAAATGAGAACTCTGGGTTCAACGGACAGGGAATGAAGATTCTTCACCCGTACCCCCGTCTCTGGCAACTCAGCAGTCACGCGCATAAACCACCTCTGGCTGGCACCAGAAAATCTCGTCATTGACCACCATCCAGATCGCATGTTCTTCTCTCCCAGAAGGGAGCACAACATGATGCTCACCGTAACATGCCACCTGACCCCGTACCAGGCTGTTTCACTTGGGGCACGCCGGAGGGGGGAGGACGCGGATGAGACCCCTTCCTGCCCCAAGGGACCCAGCCCTGGCAGTCAAAAATCTCCAGAATCCAGCCACTGCCATGCTCACAGCTGCTCTTCACACGCTCAGGCCGAGCATCATTTACAAGTGAATCTTTTCTTGGACCATGCAGCTGCATTCGCGGCCATGCAATATTTTAAATCACACACCCTACCCATACTCAAAGATTACTGCACCACATTTGATAGGGTTCAAAGTAGGAGGCAACAAATCTTAGAGGGAAATACAGATTTATTTTACATATATATATATATATATATATATATATAAAACACACAAGGCTCAACCTTTAACAACATGTAATTGATCTCTTATAGATGGGCTTAAATGGCCCCTGGGTGAAATACAACAATCTTCGCACTTTTTCCTCTAAGGAGACATTTTTGCAGCATTTTCAGCGGTTTTTCATAACACACAATACAAAATATATTATTTCAGTTCTGCTTTGGGGCAGGGATTGGGGTTTCGGATGGAAACATCCTAAATATGGTTGTGGGAAGGTGTAATGGTGATGGGATTGGTGTTTGAATATGAAATGTAATGAAATATTGTGAACTTCTTATAAAATTAAAAAATAATTGTCAGGTGTTACTACACTATTTTTAAGAGATAAAACCTGAGATTCAATTCTCCTATATAATATCACACACAAACAGAACTCAAATTGTTTCTCACACATGTTTTAAGTAATAGTGATGTTTAAATAGAAAGATAAGGGCCATGTAGTCATATAGCCTTCAAGAATTGAGAAGAAAACCTACCAAGAATCTTGCACAAAGGTTTTGAGTGACAGTAGCCCACCCCAAGATGGCAGTGTTCGCATTGGCCCTTCCTGTACTTAAGATTTTCTGTAGCAGCAGAGCAAAGCCTGCTCTCTGATTGGACATGTGTCTCTGATTGGCTGGGCAAAAACCCTGAGAATTTTCTTTATTAGGAGATGTTGAATGGACAAGTCAGATTTTGAGATATCCTGTGGAGAAGAATGGGGAAGCATCTGAAGATCTCGTGGGTGGTTTTCTGGCTTCAGTTTCACTGTAAGTTAATGAAAGTTTTTATTCAATTGACATGGAATGTTCAGGGAACATTTTCTTGGGATTTTCAGCAAATATTTATCAGATGGGGGTTGGAATATGAAAAAAGATGGGGTCAATTTATAGAAAATCTGGGGTTTGTTGTGAAGAGATGGAACAGAATACAAATGAGAAGGTTTAAGAATGGATGATACAAAAATTGAATTTCACTTTGCTTTCTGCATAGGGGTGAGCGGCAAAACCCATGTGGAACAGAGTCCTGCATCCCTGATCGTCCAGGAAGGAGACAACTGCTCCTTGCAATGCAATTACACACTGACCCCCTTTAACAATTTAAGATGGTATAAGCAGGATTCTGGGAGAGGGCTTGTTCCCCTAATAGTCCTGACTTACAGCAACAGCAGGAAGTCAAGTGGAAGGTATACAGTCACTCTGAATCCAGCCTCTTTCCGAAGCTCCCTACATATCACAGCTGCCCAGCTCCAAGATACAGCCTCCTACATCTGTGTTGTGGGGCGCACCGTGGTTCCCACATGCTTACAGCCAGTACTCTAACCTGCACCTGCAGTTTGTCAAAGCATCTTTGGAGCTGAAGCATGAGAATTTTCAAAATGTTGTCTGTGAGCTAGTACTTCTCTTTCAGACTGGGTTTGAAAGTGAGTCTAGATACATGGATAGCATAAAACATCTTTATTTTTGTTAGTGTGTTTGCTTTTTTTTGGGTCACACCCAGCAATGTACAGGGGTTACTCCTGGTTCTGCACTCAGGAATTTCAGGAATTACTCCTGACAGTGCTCGGGGAACCCTATGGGATGCTGGGAATTGAACTCAGGTCAGCTGCGTGCAAGGCAAACACCCTATCCGCTGAGCTATCACTCCAGTCTCAGCATGAAAGATCTTCTTTCAAGCAGATACCTCTACTTCTAGCTGCTCCCAAGGATACCACTGCTATATTGCATTACTGCTGCCTAAAAAATAAAATGCCAATTTTGACTGAAAGGCAGAGCTCAACTCTAGTTAGGTTCTGGCTACCAGTAAAATGTCAAATAAGTGTAAAAGCAACAAATAGATGGAGTTGAGGATAATATCTGACAAGTTTCCTTCCCTTCCTGACAGGTTTTAAGTCTTCATTTAATTACCCACTCAAATTCTTGAAAGAGTTCTGTGCAGAGAGAGCAACGTCAACTGCTTAGCCCAACTTTATATCATGGTGCCTTCCCAGAGGCTGCCTTCTACTGCCTTCCACCATTGTTCCTTTGGAGAACATGATTCTTCAGAGTATGTACTCAGAATACAGATGAAAGATTATTCTTTACTCTTACTATTGAATATGTTATTTTGTTAGGGTTATGCCTGGGAGTCTCCTTTTATTTCACATTGTCCACAACACATTCAATTATTTGAGCAGATTGGAATAATGTTCTTATTTGTTTTCCTTATTTCATGTATATTCATCACAGGACAATGACAATTTCTTGTTTCTAATCAAATTGAATGTAAATGAAAAGATAAATACGCATAAACTTTATGGAGCAAGACTCAGATAGAAGATCGATATGCTGAGCTACAATGTCAATAACTAGATTCTTATGCAGAAACACATTTGACAGGTCATTTGGCAGGAGATCATTTCTGCACTGAGAGAAGAAAATAGAACTTCTCTAGGCTTTCCTTGAGAGAAAAATGATACCATTTACTTATTCAATTTATTATTTTTTCATGGTAGATGCTGAAGAATTTTGTGGAAGATAAGAAGAAAGAGAACAATATAAGGAATTAAAGTAGGTCTAGCTGGACTGGAGTGATAGCACAGCATGTAGGGTGTTTGCCTTGCATGCTGCTGACCCAGGTTAGATTCCCAGCACCCCATATGGTCTCCAAGCACTGCCAGGAGTAATTTCTGAGTGCATGAGCCAGGAGTAACCCCTGTGCATTGCCGGGTGTGACCCCAAAAGCAAAACAAACAAACAAACAAACAAAAACAAAACAACAACAACAACAAAAAAGTAGGTCTAGCTCTACAATGGCTCAATGTTCTAGCACGTCACCATCAGAGATGGCTGGGTGAGCCTGTGCATGGATAAGGAAATCTTGACTCTGGTTGATGGAGGAATGAGAAGCTCTCACACTCTGACCAGAGTCCCAACGAGCCTGATAAATAGAAAAACTAGAGAAGTCCATAAGGATTCCATTTGTGATTTTATTTTGAGCACCTTGTGGTGAGTTGGAAGTTTCTGAAGATGGAAATGAAAGGAGGATTTCTTAGTCATGTTCCCTTTAATACAGAAAACTGCAGATAGTAGTTAGACCTACAATGTTAACCCTGGAGGATTACAGAAAGAAAAAGTATGCTCTTTCGGAAAGTAATGAGTCTAGTGAATTTCTGTCTGTGTCAGTGTTTAAATAGTTCTTAGCATCTTATATACCTTGAAGCAGTTTACAACTTTCATTGATTGGTTAAGGCAGGATCCTTGGAAGGGACTTCTAACTCTATCTCTGGCTTTTAATTTATCCAAGTAAAAAAGATAAATACTTTAAAGAGAACTTTGTAGATCCTAACCTTGAGTCATGAAGATTCAGCCACATACATTTATGTTCTATGACACAAAAAGGTAGTTACCAATCACTGAAAGTCTGTGCCTTAATCCTGCAGCTGCAATTTTTGACCTGGGTCTAGCCTTGTGGGTGAGAAGGGGTTGTATCTTCTGTATTTATACAAGATAGGGGATTAAAAATATTTTCCAAACTGGAGCATAGGGTAATATATCATTTTTCTGAAGGGATGAATCTCAATTTATATTGAATTAAATATTCTTACTATTAAATTTTCCTCTTCGATGAAGATTATAAACTTATTTGCTCAGTTTTTTTTTCACTACTTTACCCTTGACTTTAAGAGTGACCCCTTTGTGGCTCCAACTTCTAGTCCAAAAACTATTTTTCACTCTCACCAACATTTTTATTCTTGCCAACATTTTAATTTGTACTATTCTTTGTGTTTTCTTCATGTGTCACTTGTACCATAATTTACAAATTTAATGTTTAGCAGAATTGTTAATTTTTATGGACCTAAAATATAATGGTAGAGCACATGCCTCTCATGTATGAGGTCCTGGGTTTGATTCCTGGCACTAAAAAGAAAATTGAATTGGTCTTTATATTAAATTAGCTTTTAAAATAGCTGAACAAAGGTCCTTGCTTTAACTAGCACTGTCTGTGAAACCATATACAGCATGGCCTTATTCAAGTTTTTCTAATACAAATGGAAATATCACGTATGTAACAACTGAAAAGTTCACCTATAACATGACTTACTATATCAATAACACTTATGAATTTTTTAAAAATTTATTTATTGAATCACCATGAGAACAATTACACAGCTTTCAGGCTTAAGTCTCAGTCATACAATGTTCAAACACTGGTGAAGGGATCTTCACCAGTGCATATTTTCCACCACCAAGAACTCCAATATATCCCCAATGCCACCCCTCCCCAGGTCTGTGAGGCAGATGATTTCCACTTAACTCTCTCTCTACTTTGACTACATTCATTATTTCGACAAAAGATGCACCATTATTATTTGGAATTTCCCCCCAACAATCAAACATGCTGAAAAGGCATCATGAAATAATTTGTTTTCTATTGCTGGTTATGAAGACCATACAATGTTGTGCAGCCAATTTCTGATATTTTACTAATTAAGTCTGGAGGGATTTCTGCCAAAAGCCAAATAGTTCTGAGATGGGTTTGTGTGCGTCTGGGTCCATGACCATGCTGGAGAGCAACTTGTGAGGGGCAACTCATGTTCTCGGCAGGGCAAGAAGAATGTGCCGGTTCTGCCACCCATCCCATGAGGACGCAGTTGCCCCATCACCACCGGCTCATACCTGATGTCCAATAAGCTCTGAGGCGATGGCCACCATGCCGCTGGGTGGGGAGGGGGGAAAATGGCAGAAGAGACAGATACCCTTTCCCTCCTGGGGGTACTCAGCGCCGTAGCTTACTGCATAGTCCATTCACATTTCTGCCAGAGGTGCTGTGTTCCGAAATTAGGTCTGTGTACCTCTGGGACCATGGCTGTGCCAGAAAGCTGGGTGTGGGGGGCAACTCCACTTATTAATTTTTGAACCAACTCATGTTCTTTATTTACTAGCTGAAAGAATCAGAATGACCCAACTTATAGCAACATGGAAGCTAGAAGCAGAACCTAGATACTCTGATGCTTATCAATAGCTTCTTATACAAAGATGCAAGGTAGAGTCTAATTTTTAAAAAGATCAGTGTGTTTTATATTAAAATTTAATTTAACTCTATATTACTTAATTGTACACGTTAATTTTAGGTAAGTTAGAAGATACAAGCATTCAGAAAAAAAAAGTAGAAACACTCTCATAATTTCATGACCTAAAAATAATTTACTGTTACCAATTTTCCAATTTTGTGGGTGCACATATACAACTATATCTTCCTATAAAGTATACTGGTAATGTTTCTTGTAATTATTAACATGCATAGTTTTCTCCAGTTTATAGTGAATTTTCATGCCAAGCAACAAACATTGGAGGCATAATTATAATGACTGCCTCTTTTTCTTTATATAAATGTATTTTTTAAAATCACTTTTGGCATTTTCAATTATCCAGTGTTACAGACACTGTCATTATGAACATCATTAAAACCACAGCTAAAACAGAAATGGAATTGCTTAATAAGGGGAAATATATGACACTGAATATCTGATTTCCATGAAGAAATTTTTTATCAAGCTATGGTTTCAACAGTGGTGAATGAAGCTGGTTATTTTAAAATACTTTGCCAATTAGAGACATTATTATATCCCATTTCCCTTTGTAAACATATTTAGTAATTTGATTTTGCTTTCCTTTAGCTTGTGAGGTTACACACATGTAGTGAGAAATAAGATAGGAAACATTGCAGTGCTCTACAATGGATAATAATTATCTTACACAAAATGAGATATACAAAGTTTGAAGAACATTATTCTAATTCAAGTTACCATCTACTGCTTTTTTCCCTCTTAGTTGGGGATAGAACCCAGGGCCTCACACATGCAAGGCAAGCACTCTATCACCCTAGGAGCCATTTCCCTAGCAAGGCATTTATAAATTTGTTACTCAAAATGAGGACCAGCAAGATCAGAATTTGTGCAGAATCTTGGCACACTCTTCACCCAAACTCAATTTAAACATGCATTTTCACAGGATACCCAGGAGACTTTATCACTTAAAAATCTGAGAAGCACCAATTCAAATGATAAGCAGTGGCATAAATGGTAGCTACCAGAGGGGAGGCAGGGAAGTGGCTGAATAACTTGGGTTAAGATGAATGGAAACTGGATTTTGGTGGAGATCATAATATAATATGCACAAAAGTTCAATTGTAATTCTGAGCACCTAAAATAAAATATGGTGTTATTTTAATATTTAATAACATATTGGAGTATAAGTGGGAAGCTGTTTCAATATGCTATATGCTTTAAGTTCTTTCTATATGCTTCATTGTTTTATTCTTAGTGTTTCTAAATTAAAAT